GTGGTTGATCGATCGCCCAACAATCATGAGGACAGAGGCGGATGTGAGGCTCAATAGAATCCAGGGCGACCAAGAGATCTGAGGGGTCGCTCCTTTCCGCCGGCGGCAGCTCCGCCCGCGGGCGTGCGCCTGCACCCAGTTCCATGCTGCGGCCGAGCTGCGAGGCGGGCCCCGGACGTGCCTGCCGGCCGAAGTGGGCGCTGACTGTTGCTATGAGGTCCGCCTTGCAGTTGTCGCCCCCTGGGAGCTTGAACAGGGCGCGGTACTTTTGTAGGGCGGCGGTCTGTGAGGGGTCCACGGTGTGTTGCGTGTGTGGGGGGAAGTGGATGCCGAAAGGGAAGGCTGGGCGGGCCGAGCTCCGCGAGCGGCCGGCGCGGCGACGGCGACCGCCGCGGCGGGGCTCCCGCAACATACGTACATACATGCAAAATACTTCAGCATAGGTGAGGTGGCGTGGGCGTTTTCGGGGCGCTCTCGAGGCGCAAGCTGCCGGGGGGCCGCGCCCGCTCACGTCCAGGCGGGTGAAGTCGACGGCGCCGGCGGGCGCCTGCTGCACGGGGGCCGCCGGCTTCTTCGGCGCGGCCTGCTTGGATGCCTTCTTGGCGGGTTTCTGATGTACGGGAAGGGGGTTACAGAGCATGGGGACGTGCAGCCGTGCGGGGCGGAAGCGGGGCTCAGGGGCGGCGTGCAGCGGCGGTGTCCGGGGCGGGTCTTGCTTTGGACCTCGGCTCACCCCTTCATCGCTCCAGTCTCCGTCCCACTCCACAAAATCCTTCGCGCGCGAGCTAGCGCGAGCCTTGCGCTTCTGCTGCATCTCCGGGTCGCGCGTTCAGTGAGATTGCTTCTCAGCGGTCGAAGCGGACCAGTGTCTCGTGCGTTCGTTTCACATATGTTACAGCGTTGATTTTGCTACGAGCGGGAGCGCGAGCTATGAGAAGCCACTGAGGGGGCGCGTTTGCGGCGCCTCTTGATCACGGACCGTCGGGCGCCGACACTGCGGCGGCACGATCGGAGGGTCTGCGTAGCCTGATGCCGCATGTATACAATCTTTGTCCCCATCAGCAAGCGGCGCTCCTCGCGGCGCACCACGCCGCAAACCCGCACCACTCTCAGGGTTGGTCAGAGCCCTCGAGCTATGACTTGCTGGCTGAGGCCAGGGCCGCGGCCGAGATCGGTGCAACCCCCACGGGCTGATGACAGCTGCCAGTTTGCAAGAGGTCATGACACAGCCAGCCGCGCCACCAGCAGGGCGAGCCTACCTGGCCGCCACACCAAGCGCCCTCCCCCCCCCTCCCCCTGTGGCTCACCACTGTCGGCCGGACGCGCCCAATGGCCGCGCTGCCGAACGCTCCCCCATTTCGCCACACATCTTACACACCGATGCGCACCGACACAAGTGGTCTGGCCTCAAGCAAGACAAGTCTTGGCCCGATGCTGCAAACAAAGCTTCGCCGCCGGCCGCGACGCGATACGGGCGGCGGTGCAGCCCCATGCCCACCAGCAGTGCTTCCACTGAAAACCACAACGACACAACCGCCCAAAAAACACCCACCGCGCGTCCTGCGGGTGGGCAAACGCAGGCCGTCAGGCCGCGCCGGCTCGCCGCCGGAATGCAGTTCAGCCATGGCAAGGCGAAGGCGGTGTTTGATGCTTGTGTTGCAACACCCGCCGACGCTCGTGCCCGCCAGGCCAGTGCCCGGCTCACCACCCCCCCCCTTCACCCGGGGCCGCCCGAGGGGCTCCGCTCATTCGGTTGGCTGCGCGCTGGGCGCCTGAGAGCGATGGCGCAAGCCAGCCGAGCGGGCCGCATGCCCGGGCCGGCCCGCAACCGACCCCACTTGAACGGCAACATCAACAGCAAGTGCCTCCCAGCGGCCGTGCTAAAACACAGCTCAAATCCAGGCGGAACCACGTCCCCAAGGAGTGACGCACCCCAAGGAGTGTCGTACCCGCACGCGCCCACGACGCTGGTAGCCCGTCCACCACCCAACCTGCGGCCCTGCCGCCCATGCCAGATGGCGAAGGCCAACGCGGCGGCGCCGCCGGCGTTAAGCGGGCCGCCGCACTACCCGCCCGCCGCCAACCGCTTCCGCTGCGCCTCCATACTCAGGTATGCACCCAGCTGCTGCTTGAGGCGTGTGAATTGCTCCTGCATCTGAAGGCAGCGGCCGGGGAGAAAAGGGGGGGCGAGTAGAGGAGGGGGAGGGCTTGAAGAGGGGCTGCGTGGCTGGTGTCGAGCAGTGCAGCGAGCGCGAGCGGAGTGGGAGTCCGCCCCGCGGCCCTCGACGAGAGAGAGTGCAGGAGAGGAGGTGCCAAGATACCATGGCGGGGCGTGCTCTGCGGCCGCCCCACCTGCAGGCGTCCATGCAGGCGCATGCATGCCCATGCAGACACATGCGCGCCCATGCAGGCTCATGCGCTCGCATGCGAGCGCCGCGCACCTGCAGCACCAGCGCCTGGCACCCGGGGACGTCCCTCTGCTGGCAGAGCTCCCGCATGCGGATACAAAGCTTCGCCATGCCGCCAGCGCCGAGGCTGGCGCTGCTGCCCTTGAACTGGTGCACGACGGCGTCGAGCTCTGAAAAGTCAGGGGAGGGGTCCGACAGGAGCTGCCCTACCCGCTGGATCTTGGGGACGGCGTCGTCGAAGTATAGCTCGGCGACCTCCGAGACAAAGTCGGGATTCGACTCGTCCTGCAGCTGCAGCAGCTGGTGGAACTGCTCGTCCAGGAGCCCCTCTGCGACGCACTGCTGCAGCAGCGCCGCCATCTGCTGCTGCAGGTCAGCCATCGCGCGCGGGGCGCGGGGCGGGGCGCCCCCGCCGCTGAAGCTGCTGAGGCTTCGCGTGCGCCGCGCCGGCGCGGCGGCAGTAGAGTCCGGCGCGGGCGGTGCCGAGGGAGATGGGGCTGCGCTTGTAGTTGGCGAGGTGGGCAGGCCTGGTTGTCCAGGGCGGCGGCGGTGAGGCGCTGCTCAGGGGCGTGTCACGACCGGTGCCGAGGCGCGCGACAAGCTGTAAACGTCCTAGGCCCTTAGATTCTGGAAGTTACAAAGCAAAATTTGTTGTTCCTCACCCGACCAAGTGCGATGTCTGCACGCGGGAGAGCAATAAAAGCAAGGGTGCACGTCCTGGTCCCTCGAAGGTAGACAGCGACAAGGCTTGTAGACGAATATTTACCACCTTAAAGACGCTGCGATCGCACAACCAGGCGGAGACGTTGCTACCGGATGATCTGACTTGGGGGTCATCAACGACGGCAGGACCTTTGCTTGGCGATCTTATCTTCACAAACTGCCTTGTGCAACTTAATAGCGTGCAGCCTGTCTCTGGTTTTGGCAGTTGATGGGTCATGCACTGTGAATGGGAAGCCTGGTGGTGGCAGCTCAGTGCCGGGTTATGGCGCTGTTTCACACAGCCTGCAGAATGGACGCATGTTGGCACAGGGCCTTTGGCTGGCGCTGATCCTAACTGGTTTCGAGATTCTAGTAGATGACGTCAGTTTCCAAACAAATGGCCATCCCCGCCAGCTGGACCGCCATCGGGTTCCCCCTCAACTGTCACGATATTCATGCATGGTTTACTAAATGTGGAGGATACAATCGCCCAAATGAAAGGGGCGCACGCAAAAAGGACGCAGGCAGGAATCAAAGCAGCAGGACACTCGGCAAAAGGCGCCCACCCACCGCGGCCCGGGGCCCAATGAATCTGAGTCTGGAGAGCGGGGGCCGCAGCGGGCAGGCGCGGGCAGGGGTTGTGGGCCCCACGGCAGGATCAGTGCTCGCCAGACCTTGGCGCAAGGGGCCGCGTTTCATTGCTGGTGAACAGTCTTCACCGCGGGCGTGGCCGGGAACAGTCCATGACAAACGGCCGGCCGGGGAGCCGCCGCGGGGGCGGGGCCGCGGCTGGGGTGCTGTGTGTGGGTTTGCAGGTTGCAGGTGCGGCGAGGGTGGGGGGCGCAAGTTCGGTGCAACGCGCTCAGCCCCGGACCCAGGGAGGGCTCCCGGCGGGCGCACATGGACCTAGGCAGCTGCCACGCAGCCAGGTGGGGTGTGCGCCCCGGGGCGCAGGCTCACAGTCTCTCTTCAACCCACCCAGGGCGCGCACACGCGCTGACGCTCACGCGTGCCCGCCGCGCAAACGCCCGGGGGGCAGGCGCCGGCAAGCGGCGAGCGGCGGCGCGGCGCGGCGCGGCGGCGCCACCGGGCGAAAAACGAGCGCGCGGGGCGCGCGGCCGCGGCGGAATGCCGCGGCCGCGCCCCGCGTCGCAACCTCGGGCGCGCACAAGAGGGCGGTAAAACTGTTGGATTGCCGCGGATCGCTCGCGCCTCGTAAGCCCGAGGGTAGCGTCCGCGCGAGATGTGGGGGGGCGGGCGCGAGGCCGGCAAAAACGGCCAGTATAGCAACAAAAAGAATACCTCAGCCAAAATGTTTTCTCGCTCAAGCCCCACACGCCGTGTGTGCGAATCCCTGGGGGCCGCAGAGGGCCCCAAGGGAGAAGTGCGGCCGAAGGCTCGGCCTGCGTCCTGTGGTTGCCTGACAAAACACGCCGCGCAAAGGGGATCACGCCCGAGGATGGGGCTGCGCTCCGGCCCGCGCGGGGTTCGCAAGTATTATATGGCACACGAACCCTAGGGATTCGGGCACCGAGGCAGGCCCACGGGCGGGCAGTGACACGTCTTTGGCCCAAGTTCCCGCTGAGAAGTGGGGCGGGTGGGGCGCGCCCCAACGCAGCGCAGGGGAGCAGCCGCCCGCAGCGGCGCGGGGAGGGGCGCGCGCCCCCGGGGCGCGGGGCGCGCCGGGCAGGCAAAATGTCGTGGCGGCGCGCGCCTGCTGTTCTTGAAGCGGCCGGTTTGGCCGCGGCGCCGCGCGCTGCGCCCCTGCCCCCGCGGGGATGGGGGGGATTCGTAGGGGCGCGAGCGCGCGCCGGGCGGCCAGGGCCGTGACGCCTAGCCCAAGGGCGGTACATGGTGAATAGGCGGGGTTAAACACGCGCGACAAATCCGCGCACAAGGAAAGAAGACAAAGGGGGCGGCGCCTGGTGGGCCGTGCAGGGGCTGTGCAGATAGCAGGAAAGAAACGGGGCTGCTGCGCGCCGGCACGGGAGGGGGTCCCGCGGCCTGCGATGCCCGGCGCGGTGCGCCGCGGCCTGCGGCGTCGAGGGCGGCGGCGGCGGCGGCGGCAGCCTGAGGGCGGCCGGCCGCCGGGGGGCTGCCTGTTTCGTGCGCCGGCCCGCGGCGGGCGGCCAGGGGGCCCGCCGGAGGTGGCGAGAGCGTGGGGGCGGCCGCGTGCCCGGGCCGTCCGCGGCGCCGCGTGCGCCGTGCGTGCGCTGTGCTGCGCTGGCGTCTGCCCTGCTGCCTTGCCGGGCGGCGCGCCAACCCCGGCCCGTTGACCGCGGCGATTGAGCGCGGGCGGCGGCGAAAAGCGGGGTCGGGGTGCGGGGCGGCCGCCGGGAAGCGGCGGGGCTCGCGCGCTGACGTGGGCGCGCGCTACGGCGGTGGTGCGTCCGGAGCGCCACAGGGCCGGCGTTGTGTTGAGCTTTTGCATTCACTTCAATTGTCCTCAGAATGGGGCGCGCGGGGCCGTGATGGGTTGTCTTCGCACGATCAAGACGGCATGGGGCCGGGCGCCGCGGGGGCCGCCCAAAGGGCAGGCCGCGGGGGGCCCCAAAACTGGGTGCGCGCACCGCGCGCACAACCTCGGCCAGTGTGCAATTCGCATGGAAACTCTCAGAATGAAAATGCGCGCGGCCGCGGAGCCGTGGCGGGGGGTGGCGGCGTGATGCCGCGCGTTACCCCACGACAACGGGGCCCCGCGGCGGGGCGGGCAGTGTCGCTCAGGCGGCAGTCGGGGCAGGAGCAGAGCAGTCACGGAAAGCGAAAGGGGAGGCGGCCGCGCGCGACGCGGGAGGGGCGCGTGGGCGCGCCCCGCGTGTGGGGGGCCCTAGCACGCCCGCGGCCGCGCGCGGCCGTCCCCTCGGGCCCAGCGAGGGGCCCCTTGTTATAACGCCCCACCCCCAGGATCAGCACACTCTCAGTCGCGGCGGCAATGGCCCCGCTCCCACACGTTGAAAAGCGCTCGTGCTAGCCCGGCTGGCTGTGCGTAAAGCATCTTCACATTTCAGGTATCGAGCGCTCCCCCCACACGCCGCGCCGCGGCGCGGGGGTCAGCCCCGCCAAAAGAAGGCGGCCCCGCGGGGCGGCTCAGCCCCAGCAGAGGAAGCCGGCGTCGGTCACGCCGTCGCTGACGGGGGACGCGCCCGCCGCCGACACGCCGTACAGGTCAGCGCACGCGGGCGCGCCCAGCGGCCAATCAACCAGCAGGTCATCCTCGCCGCCGCAGCAGGGCGGCAGCTCGACCGGCGCGCAGCGCGGCGCCGGCGGCGCCGCGGGCGCCGGCGCGGCGGGCGCCGGCGCGCCGAAGC